AGAGAACCAGAAAGGAGAGAATAGCACAGAAAGAGAACTGAGATTTACAGAGAGTACCTTTCAACGTTTTAGTCAGTAATGATGAAGCATGTGAGTGAGGAAACTGCCTGAGACTAGGGAATGAACTACCTTCCAGGACAGGAGCAAACTACTCCAGGTTTCACAGAGGGCCAGCATAGTAGCCATTCCCATCATCCAGAGTAGAACCATAATTTATGAGGCCAAGGTTAATAAAAATAATAAGGTTCTTGCCTCAGGAGTGGGGAAAAATTAACCCTAGACTAAATATTGTTCTAGTCCCACCAAACGTAGCCTAGAAGCAAGACCCAAAAGTATCAAACTGTTTCCAAATAACCACATTCCAGAACAAAGTAAAACAATATGTCTAAGAATACAAAAAGAGCCAACATCCCACAAGTTAAAATTCATAATGTTAGCTAATCAAAAATGACCAGGCATGCAAAGTTTCAGAAAAATAAAACCCATAATGAAGAGAAAAAAAAGATCAATTTAAAAAATGCTAACAAATCACATAGGTGATAGCATTAGGAAATAAGAACAGTTGTGTAACTGTATTCCGTGTGTTCAAAAAACTAGAAGAAAGATTGAACATATTAAATAAAGTCATGGAAGATATTTTTTAATTGATCTACAGATGAAAACTAAAATGTATGAAATGAGAAATACACTGGATGGCATTAACAGCATATTAGACATCATGGAAGAAAAGATAAGTGAACATGGAGACACAGCAAGAGAAATTATCCAAAATGAAGGCTAAAGATTTAAAAAAAGACATCTTGCCCGGGACCGGGTTGGGCTGTGACGCTGCTCGCGGGTGTCAGAATGTCATATCCAGGCTATCCCCCCACCGGCTACCCACCTTTCCCTGGATATCCTCCTGCGGGTCAGGAGTCCTCTTTTCCTCCTCCGGGTCAGTATCCTTATCCTACTGGCTTCCCTCCAATGGGAGGAGGTGCCTACCCAGCAGCACCAAGCGGTGGTTACCCAGGAGCTGGAGGCTACCCTGCCCCTGGCGGTTATCCAGCCCCAGGAGGCTATCCTGGTGCCCCACAGCCAGGGGCAGCTCCATCCTACCCTGGAGTTCCTCCAGGCCAAGGGTTTGGAGCCCCACCAGGTGGAGCAGGCTTTTCTGGCTATCCACAGCCACCCTCACAGTCTTATGGAGGTGGCCCAGCACAGGTCCCACTACCTGGTGGCTTTCCTGGAGGACAGATGCCTTCTCAGTATCCTGGAGGACAAGCTCCTTACTCTAGTCAGCCTGCTGCGATGACTCAGGGAACTCAAGGAACAATCCGACCAGCTGCCAATTTTGATGCTATGAGAGATGCAGAAATTCTTCATAAAGCAATGAAGGGTTTTGGGACAGACGAACAGGCAATTGTGGATGTTGTGGCCAACCGTTCCAACGATCAAAGGCAAAAAATTAAAACAGCCTTTAAGACCATGTATGGCAAGGATTTAATCAAAGATCTCAAATCAGAGTTAAGTGGCAACATGGAAGAACTGATCCTTGCCCTGTTCATGCCAACTACGTATTATGATGCCTGGAGTTTACGGAATGCAATGCAGGGAGTAGGAACTCAGGAACGTGTATTGATTGAAGTTTTATGCACAAGAACTAATCAGGAAATCCGAGAAATTGTCAGATGTTATCAATCAGAATTTGGACGAGACCTTGAAAAGGACATTAGGTCAGATACATCGGGGCATTTTGAACGTTTGCTTGTATCCATGTGCCAGGGAAATCGTGACGAGAACCAGAATGTTAACCACCAGATGGCTCAGGAGGATGCTCAGCGCCTCTATCAAGCTGGCGAGGGGAGACTGGGGACCGATGAATCTTGCTTTAACATGATTCTTGCCACAAGAAGCTTTCCTCAGCTGAAAGCTACCATGGAGGCTTATTCCAGGAAGGCTAATCGAGATTTGTTAAGCAGCGTCAGCCGTGAGTTCTCCGGAAATGTTGAAAGTGGTTTGAAGGCCATCTTGCAGTGTGCCCTGAACCGCCCTGCCTTCTTTGCTGAGAGACTCTACTATTCTATGAAAGGTGCCGGCACAGATGACTCCACCCTGGTCAGGATTGTGGTCACGCGAAGTGAGATTGATCTTGTCCAAATAAAACAGATCTTCACTCAGATGTACCAGAAGACCCTGGGCACAATGATTGCAAGTGACACGAGTGGAGATTACCGAAGGCTTCTTCTGGCCATCGTGGGCCAGTAGGAGAGATTTTTTAAATGAACAAAGCTGTTCAAAGCTTACCCTTCAAAGCAGTGACTGACCTGCATGCAGCAATATCAACCATCACTAACCAAAAGAGCTTATTCTTAGGGACTGTGTCAGGGTATTGTGCTTGGTTTGCACATGTGGTTATTGCCTTAATTCCAATGTTATTTTTCCTCTGTATTCAATCAATGTCAAGCCATATCATAACGATGTAGTAATAATGCAATGTTTGTAAAGCATAATTTTCTCACTGCTCTTATCCTAATCGGGATACCAAATTGAATAAAAATCACAACAATCTCAAAAAAAAAAAGATTTAAAAAAGAACAAGAAAATAAATAAATAAATAAAGCATCACTGAAACAACAGACAACTTCAAACAGCCAAATACGTGTAAAATTGGAGGCACTAGGGAAAGAAGGCATGAGATACAACATATTTGAAAACTAAGGCCTGAATATTTTCAAATTTAATAAAAAATATAAACCCATAGATCCAAGAAACTCAATGGACTTCAAGCACAAGAAACATGAAGAAAAATTACACCAAGGCATATCATAATCAAATAGCTTAAAACTAGTGTTAAGGAAAAATCTTAAAAGAAACCTGGGAAAAATGATACTTTACATACAGAGAAACAGTAACAAGGATGATATATGAGTAGATTTCTTGTCAGATACTCTGCAATTGAGAAGATAGAGTAGAACATCTTTAAAGCACTCAAAGAAGAAAAAAACCTGTTAAGCTAGAATTCTGTAGTCGACAAAAATATTTTTTGAAATGAAAGTGAAATACGTTTTTAGACATATTAAGAGAAAAAAGAAAAATTAAAAGATGATCTAGCTCACCTCAATAGACACAGGAAAAAGCATTCAGTAAAATCCAGTATCCATTCCTGATTTTTTTTTTTAAGTTTCCACAAAAAGTAGAAAATTTTCTCAACTTGATAAATAGCACCTACAAAGAACCTACAGCTAATATCATACTTAATGGTGAAAGACTAAATGCTTTTCCTCTAAAATCAGGAATAAGTCAAAGATGTCCACTCCACCACTTCTAATCAACATTATAATGGAAGTTCCAGACAGTATAACAGGCAACAAAAAGAAAGAAATGGCATCCAATTGGGAAGAAAGAAGTAAAACAGTCCTTATTCACAAATGACATGATCACCTATGTAGAAAACCCTAGGGAAGCAACAAAAAATCTACCAGAACTAATTGGTGAGTTCAGCAAGGTTGCTGGATACAAGATCAATATACAAAAACCAATTCTATACTAGCAACCATTACAAACTTAGGAATACCATCTACAATAGCATTAAAAGGATAAAATTATAAAGGATAAGCCTGACAAACTACAAAATATTGCTAAGAGAAATTTTAAAAGACCTAAAATATGGAGTGATACACTGCCTTCATAGATCAGAAAATTCAATATTGTCAATATGTCAATTCTTTCCGAGTTGATCTATAAACCCACAGGCATTTTTTCTGGAAATTGACAAGCTGATTTGAAAATTTATGTGAAAACGACAAGGCCCCAGGATACTTAAAACACTTTGAAAAGGCAGGACAGGGCTTGCCGAGTGGCTCAGTTGGTTAAGAGCTTGCTCAAGAGTGCGAGCTCTGAGCAACAGCGGTTTGAGTCCCTGCCCGAGCTGAGCTGCCAACAGGTGACAGGATGGCTCAGCTATAAAAAATAAAGAATAAATAAATAAAAAAAAAGGCAGGACAAAGTTAGAGAACATACACCACCTGACTTCAAGACATATTATAAAGCAACAGTAATCAAGACAGTGTGTACTGGTGTAAAGGAAGATAAACAGATCAATGGAATAGAACGGACAGACTCAGACACATAAGGTCAACTGGTTTTTGACAAAAGTACAAAGGGAATGAAGTAGAGAAAGGGCAGTCTTTCTATAAATGGTGCTGGCGCCATTTTATAATCATACGCAAAAAAAGTGAACTTCAATCTATAACTCACACCATATACCAAAACTTAACTCAATATGGATTATTCATCTCAATGTAAAACCTGAACTTGTAAAACTTCAAGCAGTTGTTTATTTGCTGAACCATTTGATGTAAGTTACAGATACCATGATCTTTCAACCTAAGTACTTCAGCATGTACCTGAAAAAAAAAAGTGATTATTCTGTTTCCAGGTTACTGTTATCATACCAAATAAAGTTAACACCAATATAATAATATTACCTGGTAGAATCTACATTCAAATCTTCTTAATTGACTCAATACTGTCCTATTTTTGCTATTTTTCAATCCAACATCAAATCCAGGGTTATACATTGCATTTAGTTTTCAAGTCTCCTTATCACTCATAATCTAAAATAGCCCTCCTCCCCCGACTGTTTAAATATTTTATGTCATTGACATTGGCATGTCCATGCCAGCAGTCTTGAAAGATGCCCAACAACCTGGGTTTGTCTGATTGCTTCCCCAAGCTTGGATACAGTTTAACTATTTTGTATCTACTACACCGGTGATGTTGTACACTTCCCACTGAATCACAGTAGACACACCTAATGTCATTTGTCCCATTGGTGATGCTAAGTTTAATCACTTGGTTAAGTGGCATCTGAGGACTTTCTCCATTGTAAAGATATCCTCTCCCTTTGCAATTAATAAGCAATCTGTGATGTAATATTTTGAGATGTATGAATACTATATATTCCAATAACAGTTCACCACTGATCTTGCTTTTATTCTTCAATTTTTTTATTGAGATATAATTGACATATAATCCTAGTTCCAGGTGTACAATGTAATGATTCAATATATGCATATATAGTAAAATGATCTCCACAATAACTCTAGCTAGCATCCACCATTTACAATCTTTATCTGAATCAATCATTGCGTTGGTGGTTACAAAATGGTAAATTTGTAGTTTTATCGTCCCTTCTACACATAGCAGTAGGCGCTCTTCCATAAAGAGTTTTCCTCCTTTCCCCTGCCTTGCTTTCTTATAGTGTCACTATGGACACATGAAGTTTTAAAAAATCAATGTGTTATATGTTATAATATGATTATGTTATGTAATATATTATAAATGTGTTAAATGCTATTCTTTGGCTGCTCAAACGGTCTCCAGTGTCCACTGGGAGCCCCTTTAAGGCTGCGCCTGTGCCCTGTAGCATGTCTTTTTTCAGTCTTTGACTCCTCCTGATCTCTGGGACTAGATATTCTGGGGTCATCTGTGTTTTTCCCTGCTCCAAATTTAGAATTAGCCATTTGGCCAAGAAGCCTTGTTTTGAGTGAAGAATGGTATTTAAAAACCAAGGGCTAATTTCTAGGTGTGCTCAGTGCTGGCACAGAATTTATAACTGTGTCCTCCAACTTCAGGGCTCTTCTGCACCTTCCCCCATCCCATATTTATATCTTTTTTCTTAAACAAGGGGAACCCAAGTTCCCAACTACGTTGTCACATTTTTCAGTACAAATAAGTTCAGTATTCCAATACCAACCTTAACAACAAAGTTACTGAACTCCAGATTTTGTGACAGATCTTTTGATCCTTAGTTTCTACCCCATTTAGATGACTATGTTCAAAAGTTACTTTAATTCTTTTTATCTTCATGGTTATGTTATCAGCTTTATAAAGGGTTAAGTTTATTTTTTTCTGATTGTATTCAATTTTAGGGTTTGCTTCTTCCGGTCTTTTCAATTTAATTTATTTTGAATTTGTAAAACATTTATATAATTTAAAAATTCGATCTACATGGAAAGATATACCCAAGGATGTCCCATTCCCATCCCTATCTTACCTAGTTTAGTACCTACCCCCACCCCACCTCAGGTACCACTGTCATTTTTTACTTATCCTTCCTGTGTTTATTTTTGCAAAAATAAGCAAATACATACACATATTTTTATTTTTCCTTTCTAACGCAAAAGGTGACATATTCCATATACTCTAGCGAACCTTTTGCTTTTTGCTTCACTTAAGAGTATACCCTAGAAATAACTTATCAGGTCACAGAGGTCACCCTCATTGTATATTATGGCTGTTTCATGCTCCATTGTGTGGATACACCACAGTTTACCAATCTCCTGCAGAAGGAAATTGGGTTATCTCCATTGATTCGCTATCATAAATATCATCACAATGAATAATTTTGATTATATATTGCTCTGTTATCCTGGATGTATATCTCCAGAGTATGTGTCCAAGAGTGTATTAAGTTTGCTATGGCTGCCGTAAGAAGACATCACAGACTGGATAACTTACCCGACAGAAAAGTACTTTCTCATAGTTCTGGAGGCTAGAAATCCACGCTCAAGGTGCCAGCAAAGTTGGTTGCCTCTGAGGCCTTTCTCCTTGACTTGCAAATGGCCTCCTTCTTACTGCATTCCTACAAGGTTTTTTTCTCTTTCTGTGTGTTGTCTGAGTCCTAATTTCCTCTTCTTAGGAGGACACCAGTCATACTGAATTATAATCTCATTTTGCCTTACGTACCCCTTTAAAGGTCCTATCTGTAAATATGGTCACATTCTGAAGTACTGGGGGTAAGAACTTCAGCATATGAATTTGGGAGGGGACACGATTCAGCCCATAACCAAAAATAAATGTTAGGTAATATCATAGTCCACTTTGTTGGGTTTATACAATTTTGTACTATCGCCATCAATCAAGCACTTATTTTTCAATTTCTTAAAATACAGCTCAGCGAACTACTGCTTAGCAGCAGCCACACTAAAAGTATTTCCTTTCTTACTGAGGGTTATAATTTTATTCCCAATATTCCAGCTCTCTCTGCCTAGAAAAACCATGCTTGAGTTCTACAAATTCCATGCTATACTGACATCATTTTCCTATTTACCAACTGCATATGAGAGACTTGATGTTATAGAAACATCTTTTGTAGCAGACCAGACTGGACTTGAAATTTTTGTGACTCAGATGTTTTTCCCTTGAATCTGGATATTGTTTTACAAAGAATTCTTCCCCGAAAAACTTCTACTATAGTCATGATTCTGAGGGCG